AAGGGACATATCACTGAGTTGGTAGTCCAAACCAGGCACTGACAGGCAGATAAACCCCTCCTCCTCTTCTCTCTATCGATCATCTCTCTCTCCTCTCTTATCTCTCCTCTTCTCTTCTATCTCTCTCGCTCTCTCTCTCTCTCTCTCTCTCTCTCTCTCTCTCTCTCTCTCCACAAATTTCATGTGTTCTCTCTAATATATTTTACCCATAGAACATTAAAATGAAAATGAAAGTAATACAATTTGAATCCTAATGAAACAAAGGATTCTGTATCCTACTATATGTATTAGTCCAGGCTTGAAGGTTTTTCTTAGAATATAATTATTCAGTGTTTACAGTTTTGCATTGTATTACTTACTTACACAGTATTTAATGAATGCACAGTGGATTGGGGTGAAGAATACTTTATTAATCTTGCAGAGAACACAAAGCTTTCTTTTTTCTTATAACCCAACCCCCTGGGACAGTGGCAGCTTCTCTTGTCTGTCCTAGACCATGTCCTCAGAAGTGTGCTTTTATAGGCCGTGTATATTGCAGCAGTAGCTGTCTTCTGCTCCTATTTTACCTCTGTCTCAATAGACCTTCTCCTCTCTCATCAATATTTAGAGAGAGCCCCAGGCTGCTTTACTGTGAGGTATTCTGGGGTCAACACGTCCGCTGTACCCCCATCTCTCTGTCTAGCACAGTTATGGCGATAAATGCGTGTACACTCAAGCATGCAGACACACCCTTCAGCACTGTTTCCCAACTCCGGTCCTCGAGTACCCCCAACAGTACATCTTTTTATTGTGGCCCCTGACAAGCACACCTGATTCTACTTGTCAACTAATCATCAAGCCCTTGACCAGTTGAATCAGGAGTTTCTGTCTGGGGCTACAACAAAAACGTGTGCTGTTAGGGGTAGTCGAGAACCGGTTGGGAAACACTGCCCTACAGCACCTTCAGCGATAGCCAAGTAAAACTCAACTCCACGATGTACTTCACATCAACAGAGTAGAGCGACGAATAGTATGGGTGCTGGAGCTCCTACATCGCATAGAATTAAGTTTTTATCAAAAATTACTAATTTCAGCACCTAAAGAATAGCACGCAATTACACAGGACATTCATTTTATGTGATGTCGGAGCTCCAGTCCACCCACTCTCGTCTCCGCACAACTCCATTGATGTGGAGTACATCGTGGAGTTGAGTTTTACTTGGTTACCTCAACCCTGAAAGTACACTCTTACTGCCAATTTCTCTCCCTCTCTCTCACACATACACAAACACGCACAGACAGTTTCACACACACTACCCTCTATGGCAGTGATACTTCCAGTTCGCCCAGAAATGCACATACTCTAGATTCCAACACCCTCTCGCTGTGACTCAGACACCCTTCCTCTCCTCCCTCACCTCCTCCCCTCTCCTCCCTCACCCCTCACCTCCTCCCCCTCTCTTCCCTCACCCCTCACCTCCTCCCCCACCTCCTCCCCCCTCTCCTCCCTCACCCCTCACCTCCTCCCCCTCTCCTCCCTCAGCTCCTCCCCCTCTCCTCCCTCCCTCACCTCCTCCCCCTCTCCTCCCTCACCTCCTCCCCCTCCCTCACCTCCTCCCCCTCTCCTCCCTCACCTCCTCCTCCTTTCTTCCAAACCCAACTTTTTGTCTGGTGACAATTAACATAACAATCTCAAACTGAAGCCAGCCAGAGAATTCTGGGGAGATGGCGTTTTTTTTTTTGGCTCAACTCATCGTGTTTCATGGCGTTCCCAGTCCGCCGGAGTGTGTGTGTCTGTGTCTGCATCTGTGTGTGCGTGTGTGCGTGTGCATGCCTGCCTGTGTGTGAGTGTGCCTGTGTGTGTGTGTGTGTGTGTGTTTGTGTGTGTGTGTGTCTGTGTGTGAGTGTGCCTGTGTTTGTGTGTGTGTGTGTGTGTGTGTGTGTGTGTGTGTGTGTGTGTGTGTGTGTGTGTGTGTGTGTGTGTGTGTGTGTGTGTGTGTGTGTGCGTGCATGTGGAATCAGGCCAGCCTTTGGAGAAGAAGTGTTAATCACACCTTATAAAACACAACACCCTTCAACAGAGCCACATTACAGACCAGGTTACAGGAAATGTACTGTATGATCTAATGATCTATTACAGAACTACAACCTAGGAATGGTTCTGAGGGCCAATGGTCTGTGTCTTGGGTTAATACCTGTTTTCTTGGGTTAATACCTGTTTTATGTTCTAAAAATGCATACACTCTGAGACCACTCTTCTATGAGACACAGATGGTTCATGGGAAGTGTAGTGTATGCTCTAGTACAGAGCTAAAACCTGCATGTTCAGGGGTCCCTCAGGATTGGCTCTGTGGACCAATGTTCTATATCTTAGTTGTTCTATGAGACACAGGTGGTTTGTGGGAAGTGGAGTCCCACACAACCACTGTTCTGGCATATGGCTTAGCCTCATGGTAAATGATCTCTGTAGGATTGGTTGTTTCAAACAGGACTCTGGTAATACACCACACAGGTGCATCATGGGAAATCAGTGGAGGCTAGTGGGAGGAGCTATAGGAGGACGGGCTCATTGTAATGGCTGGAATGGAATAATTGGAATGGAATCAAACATGTAGTTTCTATATGTTCAATGTGTTTGATGCCTTTTCATTTTTTCCATTCCAGCCATTACAATGACCCCGTCCTCCTATAGCTCCTCCCACCAACTTCCTATCTGGGAAATATAGTGAATGTTTAATATAATGTGTGATTTTAAGTACAGAAGGGCCTCTCATGAAGAACTACATGACTAACCCATGCTCTCCTCTCTGTGTTTTCTCCAGTGCCAGGTAACCTGGGTTGTTTCAAAGACAGTGGAGACCCTCCCACCCTGACAGGGAGCAGTGAGACCTCAGACAAACTCACCATCCAGAACTGCATCAGCTTCTGCCGGAAACAGAGATACAAGGTACAGAGATGGATGTGTCCCAAAAGTAATGCACTATAGGGAATAGGATGCCTTTCACCATCTGAACTCTCTAACTTGTTTCATCCTCAAAAAATCATCTTTGAGGGAAGAATGGCTGTCTGTTCTAGACACTGTATTTCTATGTTTATGACCATAACTATCCTCACATTTCAAATTAATTCAGTGACCCATCAGATGATGAAACATCACAGGCAGCTGTTAATGTACACTCTCTATGGCCTTCTATTGTCTTGGGTATTGACCATGGGTGTAAACAGTGGCAGCTGTTAATGTACACTCTCTATGGCCTTCTATTGTCTTGGGTACTGACCATGGGTGTAAACAGTGGCAGGTGTTAATGTACACTCTCTATGGCCTTCTATTGTCTTGGGTACTGACCATGGGTGTAAACAGTGGCAGGTGTTTATGTTCTGTGTGAACACTTCCAGTTGGCCCTGCGACAGACCCAGCACTCAGACGCTGTCTGCACTGATGAGCAGTGACAGTCTGCCCCTCTGTGTGTGTGTGTGTGTGTGTGTCCCTCTCCGCAGATGGCACTGGCATGATGTTTCGACAGCCTGAGACCATAACGTCTGTTCGTCCTCCGATTGTCATTGTCTCTAATGCACATTTAAAAACGCTGTATTGACGCCCTCTGATTTCACTATGACAAACAACCACATCCAACCTTAAGTCAGTCAGACAGTAAGTCGGTGGGTGCGTCCCAAATGGCACCCTGTTCCCTATATAGTGCACTACTTTTGACCAGGGCACATAGGGAATAGAGTGCCATTTGGGATGCTGCCAGTGACTTAGTGACTCAGTGATTCAGATGCTCCCTGCAAACAGTTTTCTGCTCTGTCACCAGAGGACTTCACGTTTGACTTCCTTCTTCCTTTCTCAAGTAATTTTTCATTTTCATCTGATAAATATGTAACGCATTCACGTCGGTTCGATTAGCGGGCGGAGGAGTCTAGTTACATAAATTCCAGCTTCATGAGACATTTTTCAGAATGAAGGGAAGTGATGCGGTACCTTCGTATGAATTCATTTATGGGAAGAAAATTACACAATGGTCTTCTTTTAATGGGAGACAAAGGAGCTCTTAGTCAGTGTTCTGCCTCTACACTGAGTATGACTGGGTTGGATCTGAATTCTGAAAGGAAAGGTCAAGATGTTTGAAGAGTTTTGACTGTTGTGGGGTCCCAAATGGCAGCCTAGTATAGTGCACTACTTGGTCCTGGTCAAAAGTAGTGCACTATAGTGGGCCCTGGTCAAACGTAGTGCACTATTAAGGGAATAGGGTGCCATTTGGGAAGCATCCTGTGATTCTGTCTCTCATTCTAATACAGCTCAACGCAACATGGCTTTAGGAAATGTTTACTCTGTTTTGACTAAGAGTTGAAGGTTAAGCGGTCCGATGCTATTTCAGATTGGTTTATTTTAGCCCTCCACTGAGGTCTTTGATGTGAAATGGTACTTAACTAGTTACCCTCTAATTACTGCTGACAGAATGGGGATTCGTCCAGAATTGCACCCTATTTCCTATGTAGTTGCACAACTTTTGATACATAGGGAATAGGGTGCCATTTGGAACGCATCAAGAGTGGTGACTGTTCTGTTTCTCCGAAAGCACTGGACTCAACCCAACCACACCATATTATTATCCTCAAACGCCTGATGGCTTTAGAGACATAAATCACTTTGTTTTAGGACAGAAAAACAGTCCCTTTTTAGGATGTCTATGGACTCATTCTGAAAGTATGCCTATTAACATGACACGTTAGATGATGTAGTAGTATCTCTGATTAGGTGAGGTGGACAACTCTTCTGACTCTACCATCCAGAGTTGGCTTAAGAAGGTTGAGCTCTCTCTAAGGTCTGGTTCCCCTCAAGGTTTCTTTCTTTGCTCTCATCCAAAGGGTTTTCTTCCTCAGTGCTGCACTACACGTTTTAAAAGTGAAGGTCTTACCCTCTTGTAAAGCTTTACGCAAGTGCTAAACAAATCAAGTTTGATTTGAGATTCAAATTTGATGATCATTGATTGATTTGCATGTCTCTCTCTGTTCCGTAGCTGGCTGGGATGGAGTCGGGTTACGCCTGTTTCTGTGGCAACGACCTGGACCTGCATCGCCATGGCAAAGCACCCAGTATGGAATGCAACCACGTGTGTTTTGGTGACCACACCCAGCCCTGTGGAGGAGATGGATGGGTCATCATCTTCGACAGTGAGTAGATAGGAGATCGTTTGCTCTGGGTTGTATTCATTAGTGCACATCGTTTCAAACTGTAGAAATGTTGTTCCCTGTGCAAACAATAAAAACAAGAGTTTCTTATTGTACATATTCAGGTAGTCCTTCACAGTTTTGGGCAGTTTTTTTTTCCATTTGGCTTCTAGTGAAAACGACCCTAGTCTGGTCAGCCCGTTATAACTCCCCTAACATCTATGTTGCTTCACCTAATATGTAAAAAGTGGAGTTCACAAACCTAGCATATTTCCAGGTGCATGGAGATTTTTTTTAAAGTGAAGGAACCGAATATGAAAGGATTGCAACACTCACCAACTCACTTATTGGAAGAGTCATGTAAACATAATGTTCTAGCTCTCCCTTTGTTGTCATAAAATGATTTGATGATTTTGGCAAAACAATACATGCTAAATCTCTTTCTAATAGGCTACACAAGCGTAACGTTTATGCAAGACACAACTGCTAGATAATGAGACACAGATTTCACAGCTGTAGTCAACACAATTACAACAATTATGAAATACTCCTTGTTCAATCTAGTCTCATCTTTCCCTTATGTGTTAAAAACTCTTAATTCCACTCTATCATTGAGAGAGTCTGTTGGATGTGGTTTCTATATGAAAAGGTCTCTATGGCAACTACGAGATGTAGGAGTCAACAGGGTTAGTTATGTAAGAGGGTTAGTTGTATGAGAGACTTATAAGCAAAATGCAAACTTCAATAATTGAACTGTTATCCATTTAATGATCTTTGTCTGTTTATCTCCTCCAGCTCGTGTTGGTGCGTGCGGGGGTAACTACTCTGCCCCCTCTGGGGTGGTCTACTCCCCTGACTTCCCTGATAAGTACGAGGCAGGGAGGGTCTGCTACTGGACTGTCCAGGTATTGTGTCTTGTTTCTTTGGGTTTCGATCAAATGGCACCCTATCCCCTTTAGAGTGCACTACTTTTGACCAGGGTCCAACTGTAGTGCGTTATATTGGGGATAGGGTGCATTTGGGATGCAATATTTGTATTTTATTTGTTTTGTTGCTTACATTTGTTGCCTATTGCCTAAAGCATCTTTGGGTTTCAGAAAGTAGTTAGTACTATGTATGATTAAGTACTATGTATTATTAAGTGCTATGTATTTTTTATATTTGAATTATTATTAGGTACCTGGAGCCTCCATGATCCTGTTCAACTTTACCTTCTTTGACATCTCGGACCAGAAAGACATGGTGGAACTGCTGGATGGCTATACCACCCAGGTGTTAGCACGGTTCGATGGCCATAACCCGCCCCGGGACCTGGTCAACGTCACTGGAGACTTTGTTATCCTCTACTTCTACTCAGACCGCACCAACCAAGCAAAGGGCTTCGCTGTCACATACCAAGGTGGGTTTGCAATGGGATATACGTATACAGTATGTATGTAACCGGTGTGAAATGGCTAGCTAGTTAGCGGCGCGCGCTAGTAGCGTTTCAATCGGTGACGTCACTCGCTCTGAGACCTTGAAGTAGTTGTTTCGCTTGCTCTGCAAGGGCCGCGGCTTTTGTGGAGCGACGGGTAACGGTGCTTCGAGGGTGACTGTTGTCGATGTGTGCAGAGGGTCCCTGGTTCAAGGTAGGGGCGAGGAGAGGGACAGAAGCAACACTGTTACATATACACACACACACATACGCACCAACCTAGCTGTCACATACTAAGTTAAGAGACAGGTAGATAGGTAAGGACTTCAGGAGGGCGTCAATTAGTATTGTCCCCAACCCTTGTCATCAACATCACATCACCCATACATACACTATACAGTGCATTAGGAAAGTATTCAGACCCCTTGACTTTTTCCACTGTTACGTTACAGCCTTATTCCAAAATTGATTAAACTGTTTTTTTCCCTCATCAATCTACACACATAATGACCCCATAATGACAAAGCAAAAACAGGTATTTCAAAAACTGAAATATCACATTTACAAGTATTTAGACCCTTTACTCAGTACTTTGTTGAAGCGCCTTTGGCAGCGATTACAGCCTCAAGTCTTCTTGGGTATGACACTACAAGCTTGGTACACCTGTATTTGGGGAGTTTCTCCCATTCTTTTCTGCAGATCCTCTCAAGCTCTATCAGGTTGGATGGGGAGCGTCGCTGCACAGCTATTTTCAGGCCTCTCCAGAGATGTTCGATCGGGTTGAAGTCCGGGCTCTGGCTGGGTCACTCATGGACATTCAGAGACTTGTCCCGAAGCCACTCCTGCGTTGTCTTGGCTGTGTGCTTAGGGTCATTGTCCTGTTGGAAGGTGAACCTTTGCTCCAGTCTGAGGTCCTGAGCGCTCTGGAGCAGGTTTTCATCAAGGATCTCTCTGTACTCTGCTCCATTCATCTTTCCCTCGATCCTGACTAGTCTCCCTGCCACTGAAAATCAACCCCACAGCATGATACTGCCACCACCATGCTTCACCGTAGGGATGGTGCCAGGTTTCCCCCAGACGTGACGCTTGGCATTCAGGCCAAAGACTTGAATCTTGGTTTCATCAGACCAGAGAATCTTGTTTCTCATGGTCTGAGAGTCCTTTAGGTGCCTTTTGGCAAACTCCAAGCAAGCTGTCATGTGCCTTTTACTGAGGAGTGGCTTCCGTCTGGCCACTCTACCATAAAGGCCTGATTGGTGGAGTGCTGCAGAGATGGTTGTCCTTCTGAAAGATTCACCCATCTCCACAGAGGAACTCTGGAGCTCTGTCAGAGTGACCATCAGGTTCTTGGTCACCTCCCTGACCAAGGCCCTTCTCCCCTGATTGCTCAGTTTGGCCCGGGCGGCCAGCTCTAGGAAGAGTCTTGGTGGTTCCAAACTTATTCCATTTAAGAATGATGGAGGCCACTGTGTTATTGGGGACCTTCAGTGCTGCAGAATTGTTTTGGTACCCTTCCCCATATATGTGCCTCGACACAATCCTGTCTCGGAGCTCTGCGGACAATTCCTTCGACTTCATGGCTTGGTTTTTGCTCTGACATGCACTGTCAACTGTGGGACCTTATATAGACAGGTGTGTGCCTTTCCAAATAATGTCCAATCAATTGAATTTATCACAGGTGGACTCCAATCAAGTTGTAGAAACATCTCAAGGATGATCAATGGAAACAGGATGCACCTGAGCTCAATTTCAAGTCTTTTGCAAAGGGTCTGAATACTTATGTTAATAAGGTATTTCTGTTTTTTATTTGTAATAAATTAGCAAAAATGTCTAAAAACCTGTTTTCGCTTTGTCATTATGGGATATTGTGTATAGATTGCTGAAGGAAATGTGTAATTTCATCCATTTTAGAATAAGGCTGTAACGTAACAAAATGTGGAAAAAGTCAAGGGGCCTGAATACTTTCCAAATGCACTGTATTTACAAAGGTATGTGGACACTGCTTCAAATTAGGGGATCCGGCTATTTCAGCCACACCCGTTGCTGACAGGCGTATAAAAGCAGGCACACAGCCATGCAATCTGCATAGACAAACATTGGCAGTAGAATGGCCTTACTGAAGAGCTCAGTGACTTTCAACGTGGCACTGTCATAGGATGCCACCTTTCCAACAAGTCAGTTCGTCAAATGTCTGCCCTGCTAGAGCTTCCTCGGTTATTGTGAAGTGGAAATGTCTAGGAGCAACAACGGCTCAGCCGCGAAGCACGTAGCGCGTAAAAATCATCTGTCCTCGTTTGCAACACCGAGTTCCAAACTGCCTCTGGAAGCAACGTCAGCACAATAACTGTTCATCGGGAGCTTCATCAAATGGGTTTCCATGGCCGAGCAGCTGCACACAAGCCTAAGATCACCATGCGCAATGCCAAGCGTTGGCTGGAGTGGTGTAAAGCTTGCTGCCATTGGACTCTGGACCAGTGGAAACACGTTCTCTGGAGTGATAAATCACGCTTCACCATCTGGCAGTCCAACGGACGAATCTGGGTTTGCGGATGCCAGGAGAACACTACCTGCCCCAATGCATAGTGCCAACTCTAAAGTTTGGTGGAGGAGGAATAATGGTCTGGGGCTGTTTTTCGTGGTTCGGGCTAGGCCCCTTAGTTCCAGTGAAGGGAAATCTTAATGCTACAGCATACAAAGACATTCGAGACAATTCTGTGCTTCCAACTTTGTGGCAACAGTTTGGGGAAGGCCCTTTCCTTTTTCAGCATGACAATGCCCCTGTGCACAAAGCGAGGTCCCTACAGAAATGGTTTGTCGAGATCGGTGTGGAAGAACTTGACTGGCCTGCACAGAGCCCTGACCTCAACCCCATCGATCACCTTTGGGATGAATTGGAACACCGGCTGCGAGCCAGGCCTAATCGCCCAACATCAGTGCCCGACCTCACTAATGCTCTTGTAGCTGAATGGAAGCAAGTCCCCGCGGCAATGTTCCAACATCTAGTGGCAGCAAAGGGGTGACCAACTCCATATTAATTACCATGACTTTGGAATGAGATGTTCGATGAGCAGGTGTCCAAATACTTTTGGTCATGTAGTGTAGGTTGTTTTGAGGTTGGCACAACAATTGTAACAATTGTACAAAAACAAAGCAAGTTGTTATAGTAGATATGAGAGATACTGTAACAAGCTTTTCCAGACCTCTATCGCCCTCGGCTTGGCTTGAGTGATTTCAGCCCCATGCAGTGATTTGACTGAACCACAAACTCATCTCTCTCCGGGAGACATAATTTGCATGAACAGGTGCAGGCTGACATCCTTCTATCCTGGTTCCATGGCAGGGTTTTGCATAGCAACCACGCCGCCTGGCCACTGTTAAATCGACCAGACTAATGTGTTGTGGCTCTACTTAAGGCACACACACGTAAACACAGACACACCGGCACATGCACACACACTGAGGGTAAGAGAGGGAGACAGGCAGGGGAGACTCCAAGTGCTGCCGGCGGCTGACCTTTTCTCTTATCATTTGCTAGCCAATGCCTCAAAGCCGCAGGTGATATTGGTGTTGCATATCGAAATGTTTTGTTTTTCTAGGAACTCACCGTGAGACACACACTAATTCACAGGGTGCATGTCGTTGCATATTTAACACTGGCAGTGTGGGGAATACTTTTCGGGATGGTAAAAATGTTCTGTGTAAACTCAAACGACTAAAAAACAGATATAAAGAACATGTATGTAGAAAATATAAATAGCCTACGATCATCTTTGAGAACTAACAATCACCAAAATAAAAACTACACAGTCTGGTAGAATTTAACATTCAAAACATGTCATGGCATGGGGCTCCCATTGATTTTGTTATAATGTTTGAGTCATTCAGATAGCATAAGAACACGGCATAAACCATGGTCAAATCAATAGAATTGCAGGAAAATTAGTAGGGTTGGGAATTGCCAGGGACCTCACGATACGATATTATCATGATACTTAGGTGCCAATACGATATGTATTGCGATTCTCACGATTCTAGATGTATTGGTATTCGATAGTGCGATTTTATTGCGATTTGTAGTTAAGGCAGCAAACATATTGCTAACTACATGTCTGCTGCAGAGAGACAAGAGAGAGCATGAGAAAATTTGTTTAGATCAGTCATGGAAATAAAAGTGCTGAAAACATGTTGGCTCACTATTTATATAAAACGAAGATGGAGAACAAGCTATAGGATGAAAAATAACCGTTTTGGGGCAGGTACAGCAGGCTAGCGCTAGTTAATGCTACCTGGCAAAAAACTAAATATATATATTTATTAAACATTTACAAATCGATACTTGGAGTCAAATATCTATATAATATTGAACAAAATCAATATTGCTATATGTAACTGTATTGATTTTTTCCTCCTTTTTGTTTTTGGTCTCTGTCCTACTCACAAATCTCTGTTGGAAACAGACAGGTCGCACGTCCGCCAAAAGGCCATTCTTTTCCCATCTTCCTTTCCGGATTTTCCTACTCAAGCTCTCCTCAGCACGACATGATTCCTGTTCCCCTGCGTAGCCATTTACACTCGTATACGGGTTTGAAAATGGCCGATTTGGGCACTGATAACCACCTAAATTGAAATGCAGTGGCTGTACAGTAACATGCTATAAATTACGTCAGAGCTCAGGCTTCACAGCACTGAAGTTCTGAAGTTGAGCACCACACGCGACAAGAAGTTGCCCAAATCCCTTCCGCTAATTGGGCAACTTTTGCACATTCTTTGTTGTCTAACTGAAGTAAATGCAGTAAATTAAGAGGACTAAGTATATTTTGATAGATGAGATGTTGAGGATTGTAATAAATACCGCTTTGATGTCATACAAGCAAGCCAAACACCCTCGAGTTCAAATGTGCACTTCACATTTCGATCATAC